TTTGACATCATGTTCTACAATCAGACAAACCACAGTGTACTGTATTGTGCAGAACCAACCAGTTTTGAAACTCATAAGAATAAAATTCAAATGTGAAAACAAAAAAATAGGCAATAGTTTAATGACCAAGTATAGGTGGTCCTCATTTACTGACCACTCCTACAGAGACCATTCAAGGTTGGAGAAGTTGGTAGGCTGCAAATAGTGACATGATGTCCTCACTTAACATGCACATAGTTTTTTACTTAATGATGACAAACCATTGTTTCTATAGTTTCTTAATGAAGAAACATGTGGACTAAATTGCCTTCCAACTATACTACTAAAAAGAATACATGTTTCCCTTCTATCAGTGACCAATGCAGGTATGGGTATTCATATTCCTGTAACTGAGGGATCGCAAACATTTGTGCACTTATTCCTTCTGATTCCACTGGACTCCTTCATTAAAAGACAATGGCCAAGTTCACATATCAATGCTAAACTATAACTTGAGAACCCAACTATTATTACAACTTAGCGTGTGATATGAACCCACCTATTTGTGACATAGTCAGCAAGCCATGCTTAAACAATTCCAGCCATTGTCAAGCCATTTTAGAAGGCTAAAAAAGTTTGGAAAAAAATTATTAAGTAAATGTCACCTTAGTGAATCTTGAAAATAAATGTGTATATCCATCATTTGTACAAAAGTACAATTATTCTTCCTTCGGAGGAGGCCCTTGGTACACACTCTTAGAGAGTTTGGGTAACTGAGTTCACAGTACACCTGGTGTTCAGTTCAATAATATAAAGCTCAGTGGGTTTAGCAAATAGGAGAAAAAGTAACATCATATAAAAAATAGGCATCATTGTATGTTCCCATCATATCTAAAGAACAGCAATACCTTAAAACAAATTATCTGTTTAAAAAAGGGCAAATCTCCTCTGTAATATGAATATATTAATCTACAGCTCACATTAGCCTTTTACCCTTAAGTGGTGCAAATCAGCCCAAAGAGAACGTCTTACAGCTCTTACCGGGAAGTGGAAAAAAACAAACCCAGAGTGTGCCTTGCCTCACGTATCTGGCTAGTTATTAGTGGAGATATCTCTATGGTTGTCATGGAGGCCATGCAGTCCCAAGCTGACCCTAAAGGAAGAGTTAGTCTTGGCATAAATGGTAAGGCTGTTTCTAAACAACAAGCTATTACATGATAGTTGCCAATACTGTGTGAAAACACATTTCTATGAGTCCCCTGAAAAAAAAAAACCACCTTAATACTCTTAATGAAGATAACTACAGGAATAAATAATACTTTACTATCAGTTTGCATGGTACCTAAGAGGTGCACAAAAAGTGGGGAGCATGGAAGATTTCTATCTGGAACAGAAAATGAGAAGAGGAAGAATGGCAAATATAGGGAATAAATGTAAAACGGGCCACAGTGGGATTCATAGAAAAGAACTACACAACAAAACTGAATAGAGAAAACCTTTTTTGGATTCATCCCATTAGGAATTTTGTAGAAATCACATTTCTTTTGAACAAAGTGAAATATGGTTACAGCTACTATCCTATCAGAGAAAGCGAACGAACTTAATTAATAATTATTATTTAGCTACATGCTGCTAAAATCACGAAATGTTGTTTTATTTTTTTATACAATGAAAATAAGTGTTGCTTAAGTTGCTATCATGAACAAAAGCATCAATAATAGTTAAAATTCGGATCCCATTCCAATCTCCCTGCTGGTATTAATTTGGAAATCCTAGGTTAGAGAAGATGCCTTAGAATGAATATTTCAATAAAAAGAACTTAACAATGCTAAATATTTGTATGTTATCATTAGATTGTTCTTTTAAGACCAATACCCAATGAACCTAGATTCTGGATGTTTTCTCTCATTGTGATTAAATGAGTGGACTTTAGCCAACCAATCTATAAATATATGTAACGAATTTTAAAATGGTAAAGGTCTTCTTTTCATATTGTTGGTTTCCCACTCTCATCAGCTCTCACGAGCAAAGTTAATGACCAGGAACCAAGGCAAGGAATGAGGACAGATCACATCAAGATATAATCAATCATGAGTCTGCATAGATAGGTAAGCATTCTATTTCCTTGTTCTGTACCCCTTTAAGAGGTCTACAATAAACTATCTGTTTTTTCAAGCTTTATAATAGAAGAGGCTCAATTCTTATATGTGTATCTACACCGCACATGTATACAGCATGTAAGCCATACTAACTTTTTTCCAAACAAAAATATAAAATATTTTCAAAACTTGCTCAGGATCCCACAATTTGACATAGAAGATACCTTTTATCATTAGTTTTATTACCATGGTTCTAATTCTGTTTATTACCACTGCTGCATTGTTAATGTTTATGTTCCAATTTGTTATAATTCCTCAGGGTAGTGATTGCCTAAATTTGCTGAAACTTTACTCCAGCATAATGTGGGAATAGTTTATACTTAAGTTTGGCACTTAAACATGAAAGATAAAATGTAAACTTGTGATCTCTGCTGAACTTTTGAAACTATACACACAAACACACACACGAATTGATTCTCCAACTGCGTAGCAATAAATTTATTTCAATAAAATTGTTTTGGCAGGTAGCCAAAGAAATTTTCATACAGATTCAGATTGTAATGTCACCCTGAAATTATTCATTTCCTTAATCTTGCTCTTTCAAAAAATATATTGATGTTGGACACTTTTCTTTCTTACAAAAAAAAAAGATAATAATAATAATACTTTATTTGCGGTCACAGACCAAAACACAAGTACAACAAAGAAGAACATGGGAAATTAATCTATGGACTAACTCTAGAGTCTAAGAATAGTAGCAGGTCAGAGAACAGACCTAAAGTGGCAGCTCTACACTGATGTTGCCCAGCAACAGCATAAATCAAGGGAAGCTTGATCAATTTCTTATAGGTACAAAAAAAAAAAAAACGTGCATGTCCCACTTCATATATTTTGTAAATACATGTTCCTCTCATGCTTATCTTACCTCTAATCTAAATAAAGTTATAAAATTGTTAATTAACCGAGTCCAGTTTTCCCTTTATTATAATTATATAACATCTGGAAAGCCATGTAAGATGTGAAGGTAAAATATCCTTCAAATTAAGCTAAACTCCTTCCAATTTCATGGAACCATGTGTACCGCATCTTCACATGAAAATAAGATTTAATTCACTTGGAAAAATTGGCTCTGTGTCAGAATCACTTTCTTACATAGGAGTGTCAAATTTTTGATTGTTGTGCCTATATATATTAAGTGTTGACAATGGTAGGGGTCTTAAGATTATTCTAAAGTCTCTAATTTTTGCAGAACAAGATTTTGGAGATCAAAACAGCTACAACTCTTTCTGGAGCCATAATCTTCAAGTAAGCATTTGGATACACTGATTCTCTTCATTCAGTCATTTTCAGGATTCCAGTTTCCAAGAAAAAAAAAAGTAAAGCAAATTAGTTCCACCTAGTAGTAATTTGTCAATCTCAGTTTAATTATTTTATTACTTTTTTACACAAGAATCTACCTTAACTGCATACAGGGTAGGCCTTAGCTACTATTTTGGTCCTCAGAAGCAGTTGCCACAGAAGGAAACAGATATGGAAATGATCTGGCTTAAACTTTCACCATCTGGTAAGTGGAGGAATTTAAAGATCATAAACTGTTTTACTCACTGGCGGAAATATAATAAATAATGAACCAATGCCGTTCGATTACTGTTATTCCCAGCACTGAGGAAAAAATCTGTGTTCAGACTAGGTAACATTGGGTCACTCAGTTTCCCAACCAACCTACCTCACAGGGTTGTTGTCAGGAAACCTTATAGGAGTACTAGCCATACTGCCTGGAGCAGGAAAGGTAGGATATAAATCTAACAAATATCAAAATAGCAGGCGATAAGCATGCAATTCCCTTGGTGACGGTCCTCTAACCTCAGACATAATATTTCTGAAGAACCGGATTTATCCCCACGTAATTCGTCTCAGCTTCGCCTGATTTCATTAAGTCTCCCTTCTCCCAACAGCGTCCCGGATCCTTTTAAAAATAAGAGAAAGCGAAGGCTCGCCCTACACGCGATGTCGTGGAAAGGGTAGGGAAAGGAATACAGAGCTGAAGAAGGGGAGGCGAGATTTAAAACCGTACTAATTCGAAGGTTTCCCGTTTCTCTCAAGCGGCAGCCCCCTGCCCTAGAGAATAATCGCGACGCTCATAGTAATGCATTACTTGCAGCCCCTCGCGGGGGTGGGGAGAAAGGGTTCGGTCCTCCCTTTGTGATTGCGGGCGCTGCAGTGCGAAGCGGCGGGTGTGAAGCTTCCACTTCCCTGGGATTTCATTTCTGGGGGAGGGGGGTGCACGCAGAACAGAAAGCAAGAGAAAAGAGCCGCCATATTCTTGCCTTACCACGCCCGGAGAGCTGAGCTACTGAAATCTGTCTGGCTACACAGTATATGCACCAGTCTCTGCCACCCCATCCCCCCCCGCCTCCCGCGGTACCCACCCCCGTTTCTTACACCAAAGGAAAGGCGGAACCGAGAAAGGAAGAGCTGGCCCTCCCTGACTGTCGCTGCTGCTGCTGCTGCCGCCGCCTTCAAAGACAAGCAAGCGCAGCCATCTCTCTCTCTCTCTCTCTCTCTCTTTCTTTCTTTCTTTTTTTCTTTCTTTCTATTCCTCCCTATTTCTTCTCCCTCAGGCTCCCTAGCGAGGGAAGTTGGCTTTCCAAGAAGCAGCCCAGAGGGTTTCTCGGGGCCAGGGCAGAAGCTGTGTCTCCTGCGCGCGACGCTTGGGGGCCGCCGCGTTTGGGAAAAGGCAGCCGGAGGAAGCGGGGAGAAAGCGAAGGAAATGGACGGGCTCGGAGAGGAAGGCGGCTTCGGGCGCAGACGTTAAGGGCTTCCAGGCAGAGAAGGGAAGAGCCGCGCGGTTTGCTAGAGAGTCGGGAGAGGAGGAGGCGGCAGCAGCGCAGGAATAGAGGGAAGGGGTAGCAAAGCGGGGTTCTTTGCAAGCAGGACGCTTTAGCTTTCTTGCTGGGCAGCGCGCTTGGCTGCTGCTGCTTCTGTTTCTCCGCGGTTTGGCGCAGGATTGAAGGGAGAGAAGGACTCGGAAGCGGCGAGGGTTTCCAAAGGCAGGCTTGGGGGGGGGAAATAGGTGGGGGATACCTGCCCGGGGAGGGGGGGGCACGTCGCGGAGGTGCCCGGGCGTCTCCGCGTGTTAGCAGCCAGGGTTCTCCCCGGGGCTTGCCTTGCCTTTGCCCGCGCCTGCCGACGGGAGGGGCGCTCCGAGTGAGGAGCGGGAGGGCTTTCTGGCGCTCGCGGCTTTGTGGCTCGGGGTCTGCGTGTTTTCGGGGGGCGGGAGGGGGGGGCTGCGCCTGAACCAGCTCGGAAGAATGACTCTGGAGTCCATCATGGCGTGCTGCCTGAGCGAGGAAGCCAAGGAAGCCAGGCGGATCAACGATGAGATCGAGAGGCAGCTCCGCCGAGACAAGCGGGACGCCCGCCGAGAACTCAAGCTGCTGCTTCTGGGTAAGATTTAGCCGGCGGCGCCCGTCCCCCCATTTTGGGCAGCTGCTTCCCCCCCCCCCCCCACTCCTCCCCCACTCCCCCGTGCCAATCTTGCAACGTCCCAGACGAAAGGGGGGGACGGCGGAGGAGCTTAGGTCTACCTATAGCCCTAAGAAGAAAGGGGTGATCCTGGGTGTGCTGATGCGTGTTGTGTGTATGTATGTGTATGCACACGAAAGTGCTCACAAGGATCGTGGCCGTGCGTTATTTGGATTTATTCCCGTGCAGTTAGTTGTGCACATCGTGGCTGTAGCCAAGCTGCCGTAGGAAATCAGAACTTGGGTCCGTTGGCATGAAAGGTGTGTTCAAACGGCAGCCTGGGGAAGGGACAGTAAGGGAGAATTGTAACCACTTCCCGCTTCCTTATTATTCCTTATTCCTGTTTATCTTTGCAACGGGATTTTGCCACCTCCATCCCTAACGAGATGCGTTATCCCGGGCGTAGGATGCCAGGATGCCTCGCCTTAGCCTCCTCGGCCCCTTTTCCTCTCCTGGCGTTTGCCCGCCGTCTCCTCCTGCCTTTCCGAGCATGCAGCGTGTCTGCAGCGAGTCGAATGGCTGCTTGGGCTTGCTGTGGGTGGTTGCGTGTGGAGTGGACGCCTTCCCGAAAATGGAGAGAAAGAGGCGAGGTTGGGTGAAAAGGGAGAGAGGAGAAGTAGAGCAAGATGCCGAGCTTCAGGCAGAGATGGGTGGCAAACGCCTGTTGTGGGAATGGGAAGAGAGCAAGGAGGAGAAACACAACCCCCAACCCGCCTTTGCCAAGGCTGACCCGAAAGAAAGAGCTGGACCGAAGAAGGAGCTGCCTTCTAGGATTGATGGGGACAGGATTTCAGGCTGCAGGGTTCTGAGTATGTGCTCCCTCCCGTCTCAGGAAGGAAGGAGTCTTTCCTTCCTCTGCCCTGGAGCTGTGGCTTTTCTTGAAAGGCAGCAGGATCTGAACACAGATCAGGTGGAAGGCAAGCAAGGGTCTGGATCCAGCTTTCTGCCAGAGGCTGGCTGTGAACTGGGAATCTTTTATTGGTACAGAAAGAAGAAGGCTTTGAATCAGGAACACCTATATTTGGTGAGCTAGATAGGTGTGAGAATAGGAACCTGTGGAGTTGTTGCCATTTGGGGGTTCAAGCCCCCTAAATCAAAGACGCATGGGGGACAGAAATACAGTATCCATTTGGTGAGAGTATGTATGTCCTGCTGTAGCATCTTCAAAGCGGGAGGCTGTAACTAGGAATAATGGCTTGGAGAAAAAAATGTCTGCAGTACTGTTTGCTTGGAAGGCGTGGTGTTATAAAACTGCCATGTGTGAACCTCACAAAGAGCTCATGGCTTTATTGAAGCCTGCCTCTGTTTTGTACCCAGAAATAATTCCTCAGTCTTAGGGACGTTTTCCATTAAGAAAAATTAAAAATGGTGGGTAGCTGAGAAAACAAACTCTGCATTTAGGGGTTGCTCAGCAACATAAATGCCTTTTTTTCTTATGTAAGTTCTGCTGTGTAGTTCATATTGTTATGGGTAGGACAAGAATATAATAGTGCAAAGAAAAGGATCTGTGCTCTTTGGGCTCCATCGACTCAGTCTTGTCAGGAGCAAGCAGATGTGAAATAAAGACGTTGAACTTTTCTTTGTATTGTCACAAGAAGATCCAGGTAGAATATAACACCTTTGGGGCAAGTTACTACTCCACACCAACCTTCTCAGAGCTGATGCCTTCATTTGTGATGACACTACAACTATCAAAATTAGTTGGGTGTCTGCGGATTTTGGACATTATAATTCCAATGTGTCTGGAGGATGCCAAGTTCGGGAATGCAGATCAATGTTATCAGAAATTTGTTCCTTGGTTGCTGATTTATTAAAAAAATCTTTAGTCTTTAGGTACAATTTCAGATTGGAGAAAAAAGGGATGTGTGGAAAGTCCATTTGGAAACTTGGTATCTTCCTTACGAATGTTAATGTTTACTCATAGCTGAGAAATTAACCCATACCATTTTGTCTTGTAACAAAATCAGTGTGTCTGTTTTTTATTATTAAATTAAGATGATTTGATATATAAATAGTAGATTTTTTGTTTTCATTGTTTGTGAACATAAGGAGTTTTGTTTGTTAGAATAATGTCCATATTGCTATGCTAGTTAAAAACTTGACCCTATAATTTTGTGCCTCATTTAGAAATATATCAGTTGCCACTCTATGGAGATAAAATAGGAATGGGTCCTAAGACGGGTGCATGCAGCCAAATTGTTATAGTATATTACAGTTTTCTTGGGTTTTTTGTCTAAAAACAAATGCACTGTTCAAACCTACCAACTTTTCTATGAACATTTCAATTATGTGCGTACAGAGCTTTCCAATTAAGCTTTCTAAAGGTTGGTAGATTAAGACTATTGTCAGCAAACTGGTAGTTACACAAATGGAGTTGACATTCAATAAATTGCAAGTAAAATTAGAACTGTAATGGGCTCCTTTAAAAGAAATCTCAGTAAGATTTTTTGTGAGGAACAGAAAATTTGAATTTTTTCTTGAGGGTTTCTTCAAACATCTGAAAACATTTTGGCCTGCTAGATTTAAAACACAACATACAATATTCACTCTGTGTTTAGCCTGTGTGTCAGAATGATTCTAGACTTATTAATCTGAGAACAAACTTTGCAGAAATTAAAAAAGGCTTCCCTCAACTCCAAGTAGATGTCCTAGGATTGGAAAGCAATCCAAAAATTACCCTTAATGTTATTTATCTGCTGTATTTGACATGGATTTTGTTCAGCAGAAGACCTATATTCTAGTTATCATTTAATAAAGGTATATTTATCATTTGTTTCTAACATTTATTTTCTCTTTTGACTTACTGAAGTTACAGGGCAGCACACAACTGACCCTGGGTAGTCTTAACAAGCCAAGCAGGATCAAACCTAGTCATTAATTGGATGGGAAGCTACCAAGAAATAGCAGAATTATTAACTAAAGTGGGGAGTTTAAGCAACACTTTAATCAAAGACTTTTTCTATTTATATTCTGATCCACATTCAAGAAAGAACATAGATCATAAAAAGAAAGGAAAGCTTTTCATTGAGTCTATATAATACTCTTCATTGTTAGAAAAAAATGATTTTATTTAGTCAGGTTCTATTCATGATGATTATGTGAACATATCCATGTTTTTTTTTTCATTGACAACAGTATGGAAGTTATGTTGTACTGTATTGTCATCTTGAATTATTTTTACTTCCCAGATTAACCTATAACCCTGGGATTTCCTGGTAGTCTCTCAACTCTGAATACAAACAGGGTCTGCTTTAAGTGTTTTAAGATCAGCCAAAGTCAGGTGGTTGCTGCACCCAACAGATTTTATATACATGGAACCATAATTTGAAATGAATTTTTTATAAAATATGTACCCAGTTTTTTAAAAGCATCTGATCATTGAAAGTAAAGGCTATTGAACTTAATGTTTTTAATTTTTTTTAAAGTAATCCATGGTAAGAGTAATGGCCTTTGGCCTTTATTAAGCCAAATAGGATTTGCAAAGTAATATGCAAATCGTCCAATATACAAAAACATAAGAAAAGTCAGTTTGAAATTCAAGACAAAATAAATAGAAAAACATGGCTAATGTTTCAGAGATGACAGCAATCTGCAGACTCTCAGCTGAAATATTAAGAATCCAAGAATGATGGTCTGAGAGCAGCTTGTACAGTAATAGATCTTGGTTGAAGCTGAACTGGTGTAGATCCTTAATGGGAAAAACACCATTAGGGTCCAATTTAAAATGCATTATATAAATCCTATAATCTGAATAGTTAATTTATTAATATTTTGGAACATCCTTTTTCTAAGAGCACCAAATTATTGCATAAATAATTTGAAATAACACCATGAAATTAGAACAATAGAATTTAAAGATTATTTAAAAGGGAGCATTAGTGGCATGATTTACCACCAAGAGATACCTTGGATGAAGTACATTTTGTACTCGGAGAATAACATAAGAAAAAACCTTTTCTTACATGTCTGGACAAATGGGTTCAGTGAGTATTTGTGACTTTTGGAAAACCTCTTAGGAATTTTTTAAAAATTAGATGCGATAGTTTATTAATAATAACAATATTAGAAAAACAACAACAATCAGGTTCTTGGATAGTCAAGTCCTAACTTCAAAGGTTTTAAAAGTTAAAATTGTTCCAGACAGAAATATTTAGAGGGCTGCTGCTGTCAAACCTAATTTTATAGGATATCAAGTATTTTATTGTACAAAACAAAAAAATTAGGCTAGAAGGCCTTACAAATGAAGAAGTAAATAACTTGTTTTATATCTTTACATTTCTGGTTGCAACATTTCTGGATGAAACATCAGTTCAAAGCCATGGGGGTGCAGTGGTTAAAATGTGGTATTGCAAGGTAATTCTGCCCACAGCTAGGAGTTCGATCCTGATTGACTCATCCTTCTGAGGCTGATAAAATGAGATGCCAGATTGTTGGAGGAAATTGCTGACACTGTAAACTACTCAGTGCGGTAAATCACAATGGAGCGGTATATAAATCTAAGTGCTATTGCTAATATATAGTTGGACTCAAGTTACAGAAATCCTTTACTAGTATTCCAAACAGAAAAAACATTGTTGTACACTATATTAATGCAGTCTTTTGCCATTGGATTATTGGGCACATTCAGGATACTTTTTGTATGGTGAAAATAAAAAAGATTTCTCAATGAAATTCTTTGGTTTATTGCCTCCATTCTTTCTTGTAACTCATGTTGTCAATTTAGGAGATATCTACATCTTCCAGTTCCATGACTTTTGGTTTACAAGTTGAAAGATACTTTCCCTTCATTACTAACTTCATAATTCCACCTTGGCGCCTTCCCAAATAATAAAATAATGACCCGGCCTTCAGAAAACACAGCTAATGGCTCGTTTCAAAAGCTCTGTCTATAAATCAGCGCTCTTCCAACCTCTTGAACCCCA